ACTGAAAATTACAAAACATTGTTGAAAGAAATGCAAAACCTAAATAAATGGAAAGAAATTCCATGTTCATCAATGAGAAGACTTAATAGTGTTATGAGGACAATACTCCCCAAATTGATCTACAGATTGAGCTCAATTCTTATCAAAATCTCAGCCGGCTATTTTGGAGTAACTGACAACCTGACCCTAAAATCCATATGGACATGAAAGAGACCTACAATAGCCAAAACAATCTTGAAAAAGAACAAAATTAGAGGACTCACACTTCCTGATTTTAAAACTTACTACAAAACTATAAGACAGTACAGTAGCAGGATGGAGCTGAGAGTCCAGATTTTTGACAACAGTGCTAAGACAATGCAAGAGGGGAAAGAATAATCTTTTCAAAATATGGTGCACGGACACAGCTGAATATTCGCATGCAAAAAAATTAAGTTGGACTCTATTTTACACCACACACAAAAACTAACTCAAAATGGATCAAAGTCCTAACCATAAGAGCTAAAACTATAAACCTGTAAGAAAACGTAGGGGAAGAGCTTCATAATATTACATTAGGCAGTGATTTCTTGGATATGATAGCAAAAGCACAGGTAACAAAAGAAAAAAAAAGACAAATTGGACTACATCAAAATTTAAAACTTCTGTGCAGCAAAAGACAATTAATAGAATGAAAGGCAACATACAGAATGGGAGAAAATATTTGCACATCATGTATCTGATAAGGGGTTAATCCAGAATATATAAAGAACTCCTATAATTTAACAAAAACAAAATAACCTGATTAAAAAATGGGCAAATAACGTGAATAAACATTTCTCCAAAGAAGATATACAAATTACCAACAAGCATACGAAAAAAGGCTCAACATTACTAATCATTAGAGAAATGCAAATCAAAACCACAGTGACATACCACCTCATACCCACTAGGATGGCTACAATTAAAGAATCAAACAAACCAACAGAAAATAACAAGTGTAGCCAGGATGTGGAGAAATTGAAATCCTTGTACACTGCTGGTGGAAATGTAAAATTGTGCAACCATTTTGGAAAACAGTATGACAGTTCCTCAAAAATTAAAAATAGAATTACCATATGATCCAGCTATTCCACTTCTGGTTATATATCCAAAAGAATTGAAAGCAGGGTCCCAAAGAGATAGTTGTATACCTGTGTTCATAGTAGCATTCTTCACAATAGTCAGAAGGTGAAAGCAGCTCAAGTGTCCATGGATGGATGAATGGATAAAATGTGGTATATACACACAATGGAAGATTATTCAGCTATAAAAAGGAATGAAATTCTGACACATGGATGAACCTTGAGGACATTATGCTAAGTGTAATAAGCCAGTCACAAAAGGACAAATAATGTATGACCCCAATTATATGAGATATCTAGAGGAGTCAAATTCTTAGAGACAGAAGGTTGAATGGTGGTTACTGAGGACTGGGGAGAGGAGGAAATGGGGAGCTGCTGACTAATGGAAATAGAGTTTCAGTTTTACAGGATGAAAATGTCCTAGAGATTTGTTGCACAACAATATGAATATACGTAACACTACTGAATTGTATACTTAAAATGGTTAAGGCAGTAAATTTTATATAGTCTGTATTTTACCACAATTTTTTAAAAGGCTAAAATATTGTTTAATTATAGTTACAGAAATAGTAGATGGTGAGGTATTCTCATTTATCAGATTTGAGACAATTTTTCTCTGTGACCCTGGACTTCTGTACCTCATCTTCTACCTGTGTCCATCTGGCTGCTCATAAATTAATCTGATAGCTGCCATCTAAGCCTACTCAAGCAACCTAAATGTCCATCAATAGATGAATGGAAAAAGAAGATGTGTTCATAGTAGCATTCTTCACAGTAGTCAAAAGGTGGAAGCAGGGCTTCCCTGGTGGTGCAGTGGTTGAGAGTCCGCCTGCTGATGCAGGGCACTTGGGTTCGTGCCCCGGTCCGGGAAGATCCCATGTGCCACGGAGTGGCTGGGCCCGTGAGCCATGGCCGCTGAGCCTGCGCGTCCGGAGCCTGTGCTCCAAAACGGGAGAGGCCACAACAGTGAGAGGTCCGTGTACCACAAGAAAAAAAAAAAAAAGGTGGAAGCAGCTCAAATGTCCATGGATGGATGAATGGATAAAATGTGGTATATACACACGATGGAATATTACTCAGCCATAAAAACAAATGAAATATTGCCATTTGCACCATATGAATGGATGTACAGATTATGATACTAAGTGAAATGTCAGGCAGAAAAAGACAAATATTATATGATATCACTTATATGTGGAATCTAAAAAAATAATACATTGCCATGTGGTGTGGCCAAAAAAAAAAAAAAAATAATGCAAATCAACTTATTTACAAAATAGAAACAGAGTCACAGACATAGAAAACAAACTTATGGTTACCAAACAGGAAAGGGGAGGAAGAAGGATAAATTATGAGTATGGGATTAACAGATACACACCACTATATATAAAATAGATGAACAACAAGGATTTACTGTATAGCATAGGGCACTATATTCAACATCTTGTAATAACCTATAATGGAAAAGAATCTGAAGCTGTACACCTGAAGCTAACACAATATTATAAATCAAATATAGTTAAATAAAAAAAATGTTTAAGCCTAGTCAGTATATGTCAGGCTTTTCTACATGTAATTCTCAACAATCTTCTTGTGAGCAAACTGAAGCTGAGAACGAGTCAGTGATATTTCCCACAGTTGTGGGAGGGATGGAGCTATCACTGGGTCCCATGACCTGGCCCCAAAGCCTGGGTTCTTTCTCACTAGGTCCCATTCCCCTCAAGTTAGCTTTATCCTAACAACCGCTTGGGGGTCAAAAATTCAGATCCCCCTTGGGGATGAGCAATCATCTAGATTTTGATGCATGTTGAATGTGTGGACCCTGGAATGAATAAATTAACAAATAAAGAAATGAAGGAAAACAGGAACGGATCATTTGACAGACTAAAGCAATACTGAAGAGGGTGGGATCAGAAGAGAAGAAAGAGCAGGAGGAAAGCTGAAAGAGGAAATTGTATCTATGCTTCCCAGAGCTCCTAGTCAGTCTATCCGGCGCTGAGGACAGAGAACACAGAGGGCAGTGCTGCGGCTTGGAGCTGCTGCCAACCTGAAGCCAGGCCAATCCAGAGTTGTGTGTGCGCCCAGCAGCAAAGGAGGCTCAGGCAAGTTGCCCTAAGGAGGGGATGGCGACAGGACACCGGGGAGACTTGGCAGGTTGGCGCATAGGGGCGGGGCATATCTCTCTTTAGAAAGATCACTCTGGCTCCTGCGGGGGGGAAGGTGACTTGAAGGGGAAGAAACTGGAGGAGGGAAGACCTTACCCCAAACACAGAGCCAAGGGAAGTGAATTCCAGAAACGTTTTCGGAGAGATCTTGCCAGGGCTTGGTGATCAACTGCATGGGGGATGGGGAGGGAGAGGAAAGTCTCTATTATCAACTCTTAGGTCCCTCGGTGACAGAGCCTAAAGGAACACATCTGTCATGGGCGGGGTGAAAGGTGAGAGGCAGTCATGGACAGAGTAGTGGGCCGTCACTTTTGCTGGGGGTCTCCCACGACTCTAAGTGCTTGTCTGGTTAGCAGCTCCAATGCGAGGGACTTTTATGTTGTCCCTCAGGTCCTAGGGTCCTGCATTTGTGTTTTGAGGGATAAGGTAGGGGTCTGGTGCATCTGTCCAGAAAGAGTTGAGGAGGCCAGAGTCACGATGTGGGAGGTGGACAGGAGGAAATAGCTTTTAGAGAATAGGGAAGGAAAAAGTCTGAGAAAGCAAAGCTGTTTAAAAACAACCACCCCAGGGGCTTCCCTCGTGGTGCAGTGGTTAAGAATCTGCCTGCCAAGGCAGGGGACACAGGTTCGAGCTGGTCCAGGAAGATCCCACATGCTGCGGAGCAACTAAGCCCGTGTGCCACGACTACTGAGCCTGCGCTCTAGCGCCCACGTGCTACAACTACTGAGCCCGCGTGCCACAACTACTGAAGCCCACATGCCTAGAGCCCGTGCTCCGCAATAAGAGAAGCCACTGCAATGAGAAGCCTGCACACTGCAATGCAGAGTAGCCCCCACTAGACACAACTAAAGAAAGCCCTCATGCAGCAACGAAGACCTAATGCAGCCAAAAATAAACTAAAAAAAAAAAATTAGAGTCCCAGTAGCAACCTAAATGTCCATCAAGAGACTGAGTGGATAAAGAAGATGTGGTACATATATACAATGGAATATTACTCAGCCACAAAAAAGAATGAAATGATGCCATTTGCAACAACATGGATGGACCTAGAGATTATCATACTAAGTGAAATGAACCAGACAGAGAAAGACAAGTATCATATGATACTGCTTATATGTGGAATCTTTAAAAAAACAAACAAAAAAAACCACCCTTGTCATTTCTGTATCATTTAACCAAACACCATCCTGCGTGTTACCTCACTTGATCCTTGTGCTGATCCAGAGAACTCAGCAGAGCTGGGTCGCTGCCACCCCAGGGCTAACAGGGTTTCTAACCAGGCATGGGAACCCAGGTGATCCAGGGTGTAAAGGCAGGGCACTTGCTGGGCAAAGGATGAGGGCACTGTGTGTCCCTGGCCCCTTTCAGGGGAGCAGAGCATGGACCTGAATTATGTAGTTAGTTTTCTTAGATCAAGTCCAGAGAGAAGGTGAGAGCACAAGGCATCTCCTCCACCTTGGGAAGATTCCCCCAGGGCTCACCCTCTAATCCCAGATCCCCTTCTGAGCCCTTCGAGCCTGAGGTGAGGGAGCCACCCCTTTTGCCGATCTTCTCTAGTTCAGTCTCAAGGAGCCTCAGGACCCCAACACTGAAGGAACAGGGTCCGACCCCATCCTTCAGTGTGGAGCTGGGGAGACTGAGGCAGGAGGTGAAGGGGGCACCCTGCATGGGACTCTCTCCCCTCAGGCTTTGGTCTCCCTAACCACAGATGCCTCTGCAGGAAAAGAAAGACATGCCCTGGAAATTAACACCCCTTCTGCTGTTTCTGGCCTGGATGGCCTACCAGTGCAGTGCCCAGGCCAGGACAGACCTGCTCAATGTCTGCATGGATGCCAAGCACCACAAGATAAAGCCAGGCCCTGAGGACAAGCTACATGACCAGGTGAGGATGGAGTGTGGCTCTGGGCAGGGAGGGGGCTTGTTCAGACAAGGAAGAGGAAGTCAGGGTGGCGAGGGAGGGGTCGCGGGGTCAGCCCCTTCACCACACACACACACATCCTGAATTATCACTGTGGGAGAAGGTGAAGGTAGGATGCGTGGGAGTGGCTGGCGTGATTCTAGGGGTGGCCTGCTCAGGACAGGATACCGTGTCGGCAATAAGGCGGAATGATCATTTACTGAGCACCTACCAGGTGTCACGTGTTTTCTGTGTGTGATTTCATATTCCCAGGGGTCCTGTGATGTGGGTAGATGATGTTCTGCTCCCCATGACACAAATTAGGAAACTGAGGCCCAGAGAAGCACACAGACACACAAAGGACTGGGACAGGACTTGCCCTTGTTGTGGGGTAGGGGTAGGACTGAGGTGGGCAACTCCAGGGCTTTAAAGGGTGAGAGACTTCAGTGTATATTACTGCATAGCGTATCCCCTTTCCTCCTTTGCTCAAAATGCCACCTTCCAGTGAGGCTGTTCACAACCACCCCATTTAGAATTTCAACAGTCTTCCCATACTCCATATTTCCATTCCCTGCTGTAATTTCCTCCATATAACTGATCGAATCTTGATATATTTTTTTCTCTTTTAGTTCTTACTGTCTCCCCTCACCAGAACACATATTTCTGTTTTGTTCTCTTCTATATTCCCAGCATCTAGAACAGCAACTGGCATAAAACAAGTACTCAGTAATTATTTTTTAGTGAAAAAATAAAATACTTTGTATAAAGTATCAAGCGCTGTATAAATGAAACCTACTGTCTCCCCAAGACAGGGTTTCTCCCAGGCTCTCACCACCCCTGCCTCCCCATCACACTGTTGTAACTGAGTCTCTCCCAAGACCAGAGTTTCTGGAGGCCAAGGACAGAGAGGTCCTAACAGCGAGCGTTCCTAGGACAACCTACCTGGGGCAGGAGGGCAAGAGCCAAATGGGAAGAGGCTGGAGGTGGCAGAGCTTGTGGTCGGGGAGGCAGTTAGTCTCATGTCTTCCCCGCCGCCCCCCGCAGTGCATCCCCTGGAAGAAGAATGCCTGCTGCTCTGCCAAAGTCAGCCAGGAGCTGCACAGGGACACCTCCTCCCTGTATAACTTTAACTGGGAGCACTGTGGCAAGATGAAGCCCGCCTGCAAGCGCCACTTCATTCAGGACAACTGCCTCTACGAGTGCTCGCCTAACCTAGGGCCCTGGATCCAGGAGGTATTGGTGTCTCCCTCACCCTACCCCAGCAGGCTGTTGCCCAACTCAGTCAAGGCTGTTCCTACCAACATCTCAGGCTGACTGGAGCCCTCCCTCCCCCCGCTCCCCCCCCAGGTGAACCAGAGCTGGCGCAAAGAACGGTTCCTGAACGTGCCCCTGTGCAAAGAGGACTGTCAGAACTGGTGGGAAGACTGCCGCACCTCCTACACCTGCAAGACCAACTGGCACAAGGGTTGGAACTGGACCTCAGGTGAGGGCCTGAGAGTGGGGAGATGGAGGTGGAGAATGGAGAAAGGGGGTTTGAGGATTGGGGGTTGGGCAAGGATTTCTAAGGGGGGCCAGAAATGAGCTTTGGGCCCAGGGGCTGAATGTCCGTGCCTACCCTCTCTCCCCCTGCAGGATCTAACAAATGTCCAACTGGGGCCACCTGTGGCACATTTGAGTTCTACTTCCCCACGCCGGCAGCCCTGTGTGAGGGCCTCTGGAGTAACTCCTACAAGCTCAGCAACTACAGCCGGGGCAGTGGCCGCTGCATCCAGATGTGGTTCGACCCCGCCCAGGGCAACCCCAACGAGGAGGTGGCGAGGTTCTATGCCTTGGCCATGAGTGCTGGGGCCATGCCCCAGGGGATTAGACCTCTCCTGCTCTGCCTGGCCCTGATTTTGCCACTCTGGCTCCATGACTGAGTTCAGCCATCCCCAGACAGTCCCCAGGTTTGATGACCAGGCTGGGCTCAGCTCAGCTCCCACAAATGAGGAAGCCGTAAGCATGCCTCCATCCATTACCCATCCCTCTGTCATCTAGTTCCTGCTCCATGGTGGAGCCTGTGGTTTCTCTGACAGCCAGTTCTAAAAAACAGACCAACACATCCCTGTCTGATGAATTATTTCAGTTGTGAGTTTGTGGGTGGTAGAGGGCAGATCCCATAGTTTTTGGATTCCTTCAGATTAGAGAAATGAGACATGGGTTTGAAACCCAGCTCTGCTACTATGTGAAATTGAAGCAGTTGCTTGACTGCTCTAAACCATACCTCCTCAATAAAATGAAAATAATCCTTCCTTCTCTCATGGTTGTTAAATGTTGCCTAAAAACCATGTGTGCCTAGTGCCTGCACATTAATAGTCCTCAGGGATCCTGTTGCCCTTGTAGCCCCAAATGAGAGCGCCAAGTCCAGAAATTCATTATTTATACTGGGCCCCAAATACCCTTCCTTTCCCCCAGGCCTTGTCTGCCTGGCTCTGTGCTCAGCTCTGCTGCTCTGGGAAAGCTGGGGATGGGAGCCAGGAAAGGCTCTGGATTCCCGGGGCAGGGGGTGCAGCGGGTCTGGTGTGAAAATAAATTCACCCATGTGGATTGAAGGGGCAGAGTTGGGGCTTGCGAGCCTCAGAGGAGGAAGACAGCAGACTGGGGAGGGCATCTGTGAGGTTCCTGGGGAGGAAATACTCCGGAGCCTTGCACTGGTTCAGCCCTGCTGTATCCTGGAAGCCTGGCTGGAAAAGCGGCGGAAACCCTTAGGGGCTTCCCAGGGGCAGGAACTTCTCCGGCACCTTTGTCCCCTCCAGGGTTGGTAGATATGCCTCTCCTAGAGGATTGCTCTGTCGTTGCACAGCCCCCCGGAACTGGGCCTAGGTTTATATCTCAGGGTCTCCCCCTTCCCCTTTCCCCCTGGGGAAGCCCTTGTCTCCACATCCCAACCGCAGTTATCCTCAGAGAGGCGCAGGTACCTGTGTGAGAACGCCAGGCAGGAGATGTCATCAAGCTAGGATGAGAACCCAGAAGTGAAGGCTCGTAGTCCAGGTCTCTCCCGCCGCCTCATACCAAGAGGTGACTGACTGATAGGGGAAGTTGGCCACAGACTGGAGGACGAGTTATTGGGTTGCTGGAGGGATCCTGAGACGCTGTTTACCGTGTGGGTGAGTCTCAGTCACCACATTTATCTAGTCTGGAAGGCCCCACAGACCCCGCTCCACGTCCCAGGCTTTGCTCCAGCTGGGTGAAGTCAATGCATATTTGAAACAGAGAAAGGAGCTCGTCGGAACTGACCCAGACACAGGTTCAATTTAGCAAAGTTAAAGTTCTCTCGCAGGTTAAAGAGGACCCTCCGACAGCGGCCTAAGAGTTGGCAGCAATGGGAGGCAGGCTGGAGGCCTGCGCCTTTAAGGATCCAGGGGGCGGAGGGGCGGGGCAGGAAGCGGACTCCCAGGAGACGCCGCCACCAGCTAGGTCTTTTTGTGAAGAGGGGCGGGCCAGACCCTCCTAAGGACCCCGCCCCCTTTCCGGGAGGCCCGGGGGCCCTACCGCCCCTTGTGGGAGGGGAAGGGGCCGGGGGTTGTCGGAGCGAGCCTGGTCTAGGGCGCTCCTGGCTCCGCGTCCCGCCCGCAGAGGCTCGAGTTTGTTGACTTGGAGGGAGTAGCTGGGATGGGGGCGGGTGCTAATAATACCCGTTCGTTCCATTGCCTCGCTTTACAGTTTACACAGCTGTCATCTTCGTTACTCCTTAATTAATAATAAAAATAGCCGCTGTTCGGGAGCGCCCACTGAATGCCGGGCCCCGTGCGGAGAGCTTTACAAGAACAGTCCTATTGAGTCTGCCCTCATAAAGTTATCCCCATTTTACAGAGCCGGAAGGCGAGGCTCAGAGAGGCGCCGTGACTTGCCCGAGGTCAATCGGCTGGTTAGCGGCTCCGGAATCAAGGCACTGGGCCGGGCGAGGCGGGGCGCGGGTTCTACCCCCGGCTCGGCGGAGAGCCGCGGGGGCGGGGCGGCGGGCGGGGCGGAAGGCGAGGTGGGGGGGGTGCGGCGGCAGAGGATGGCCATCTTAAGTGGCCGCTGAGAGTCCAAGGCTGCTTCCCCGGGGAAGGGGGCATCGGAGCAGCCCAGGAGGTGGGGGTCTGAGTACGGCGGCCGGGGCTCTGGGGAGAGGTCGGGAGCCCGGGGGTTTGAGGGAACTTTCTTCTAGATGGGCAAGGAAAGGCCTGACCTCGGGCTGCTGAA